TTAATCACATATAAAGAATATAGATAGTTACTAATAACTTGATAGTTAGAAATAACTACATCTGCTCAAGATAAATAAAGGTGCTTGTAGAAAAAGATAAGAGATGTGCGAAATGAAAAAAATATTTTTAAAAAATAAAGAATTAGGTTATACGATCTCAGTGACATTTGGATTAAAAATTCACATTGAGAATTTAAGAAACATGATTTCGCCTTATTCATTATTTTTATTAAGAGTTTAATGTCAAATGAATAATGTCTTCTCTAAAGTTTATAAGACGATTGACTGATTTTGGATTAACAAATTAGTTACTTTTAAGTATCTCAAACTAGAAGACAATATAGTAAAGTATCATTGTGACTGGGAGCCATGTTGAAATAAAAATATTTATAAACAAATGATTATTTTTTATTTTAGATAAGAATAATAATTGCAAAACCTAGTATATTTAATTTTTATTATAATAAATATTTTGCATTTCTATAACAAAACAAACGGTTCAAAATCGAATAAAGTGCCTCAAATTAAATTCATTCATAATTTAATTTTTTTTGTTTTTAAGTTTGTAATAGAATGAAACAGATGTATTTTACCGAGGTTACTTGACAGACGTTCAAAATTATCTTTAACTAACAAATTAACCCTTTAAGGGGACCCTACACGGTCAATCGGAATTGCACTAATGACGTTCCGAATTGTCGTGTAAGGTAGAGAATGAAGTACTGATGGTGGTGCGCTGCGGATTTCCGAATATCCGGAAATCAAAGGTTCATTCACGAGAAGTGGAGGGGAGACCAACCATACTGCTGGATAGGTTAGGTTACCTAGGCCTCACAACCATTATAAATTTCTGATTTTCATTATATGTAAATAGTTAAATAATTTTTCATATCCCTTGTTTATAATTATAACCATCTTCAACTATTTCTTTTAAATAGTCAAGTGGGCAACAAAAAAAAAAAAAAAAAAAAATGAGGAAACTTCACAATTTACTTTAGGAAAAAAAAACTTTAACGTTGTGTATATTTATCAGTTCTTTTCCCATTTTCCTCAACAAATTTATTATTTTCGCATTACCTTTCCTTAATTTTTGTAAGTAGTAGACTTACAATTTACTAACTTTTGTCAAACGATTTTCTATGAGACTAACCTTATTACTAGATAGGTTAGTTTACCTAGGTCTCGTTATTAAGTAAATAATTTCATAAAAGTAAATAGTTGTTTATATCCCTAGTTTATATTATTATTAACCATTTTCAACTATTTTTTCTTTAAATAGTCAAGTAGGCAATAAATTGGAGAGAAAAAAAAGTAGAAACTTCACAATTTACTTATAGAAAAAAATCTTTAACTGTTGTGTTTATTTGCCATTTATTTTTCCATTTTTCTTAACAAATTGATTATTTTCGCAATACTTTTCCTATATTTTTGTATGTAGTTGACTTATATTTTTCTAACTTTGGTCTAAACGATTTTCAGGCACTAGGAAGTAATTATTATATCTCCGTTTTTCTCTTGATGCCCAATATTATAAATGACAATGTCCAAATAAGCATATCTATGCTGTTTCTTTGTTTACAACTGAGCTAAATTGGTGTCAGCAACGATCTAAACTAAATCAGCAACGATAAGTAATGATCAGCAATGACTGAACGTGTAAGGGTCTTCATGATCAAAGCGATAGCGGGCAATCTTGGAACTTCTTGTGACGTTCATTCATGAATTACCGTGTAGGGTCTGCTTTATAAAATTTTACTTTAACCAGTTTGGACTTAAGGCATAGAACTGTTGGATTATGCTATAACTTTCAACATTGAAAAAATTCACTCCTATCAGTCAAAAGTGTTACGAAGGATAGGACTTATACGTCCACACAATTTTAGACACTACAAAAGAAAACTATAATAACTCCAGACTGACCTACAACTAGAATCCTGTGACAGAAAACGTTAAACGTATAAGAAACCCCATACACTTCAATACGACGAATTACATAGGCGTTGACCAAGTTCCATGCTAATCTGATTTTTATCCTGTATGTGACGGGACGCAGTGAAGCTGCCGAAAAATTTGCTCATTTGCAAAGAAATATGCAGATTACAAAGTTAATTTAAAGTTCAGCTTTTATGTTTGGTTAATAAATAAGTTTATAATGGATCAGAGCAACGGACTTTTTTTTCTTACGTAAAATTATGACGTAATCACATAAGAAGATTTTCAGATATACTTCCACAGAGAGAAATACTTTATTAAAAGTAATGCTGCCATACTAAATAGTATATCGAGGTTATTATAATACCGAGTTACCAATTCTTTGTCCATAAAAGGTTAAACGTAGTTTAACTACTGCTCAATATGGTTCTAGCTCGGTGGGAACAAAATTTTTAGGACATTTTTTCTTTATTTGTATAATTTTTTGTGTACTAAAAAAAAAAGAAAAACATCTTGAGTGTTTTAAAACACACACAACATATATTATACATATATCTACATTTGCTCCCCGGGGCTATAAGAAATCATGAGGGTCCTGTACCTCCCGAACACAGCTCAAAGTTATCCTGAACAAATGCAAAAGTGGACATATATATAGTGAAAGGTTATCAAATAAAGAGAAGAAAACTCCAAAATTTATGTAATTTATTAAATTATAAATTAAATGACCTAATACTCGAAAAGAATAATTATTTCACAATATATATATAATATAATTAATGCAGGGCGGTCCCTCCTCGTCCAGTGATATAATAAAAGGCCTCTGGCCACAGATGCAAAGAACGCATACAGCGTGCAGAGCCCTCTTACCTTAAAATGCCCTTGGGCAATAAAAGAAAATTGAAAAATTTATGTATATATATATATATATAATAAGCAAACCTTTCGGAAGTTCGGAACTTCTGTGACGTAACTAGTAAATTAACAAAATTTCCTTGTGACTCATAAAGTACTGATTCTCAACATATTTTTAAAGGAATATATATATATATATATATATATATATATATATATATATATATATAAACTGTACTACAACCCATGAAGGGTCTTGGGTTCAGTACTGTTTAGGGAAGGCATTGTTTCTAGGTAAACGATTGTGCAAAGAGATGATTTGACCGAGATCACGCTCAACCGCCAGGTTTTCCCCCCATTAATCAATTATTTAATTAAGGGTACCCACTTTATAGAGGCTGGGTGTGCCCCATGAGTCGCCCCACGGTCAATGAAACAGAAAAATAAATTTTCAGTCATGAGCCAGGGTTCGAATCCGGGACCTTTAGCATTGGAAGCTCAGTACCCTACCACTGAGCTACCCCACTCATACACACACACACACACACACACACACACACACATACATATATATATATATATAAATCGAGAATAAATCGCTTAGAATATTGGTCAGTGAACAAATGACAAAATGATAAGGAAATGAAATAATGCAACATGTCATAAGATCAACGAATCAATATTATTATCAATGTTTTCTCGGTAAGTGTAATAGACTAAGGAAAATAATATCATTTTAAAACTTCATTCATGTTTTAAATAAAATTCTCACCCTGATTGGCAATCGAAAAATAAACCTTAGCAGAACTGAAGGCTGCTTCAAAAGACCTTATAATGTATCTGAGGATACAGCCCAACGAGCATCAAACAGATAATAGAAGAAACAAAATATCAACGAAATTAAAGATCTCAAAAAAATAATAATAATATGGCTAGGAATTATAATAATCTGTATCTGGTCCGGATTCGATAATTTTTTTTTTTGGGGGGGGGGGTGTATGAAATTTAGCAATATTTCAAAAAACCATGATAAAATCAAAATTAATACATTTTGAGTTAGTTTTTAAAAGCAACTCGCAGGTTGGGGATGGAGGAACGTAAAAATTTTTTAATTTTGTCAGAAAGTAAAGGGATGTATGGCAGAGATCTATATAATTTAGGGCAGATTCTGAGAGCTAGGGAAGAGGATGGAGGATGAGAGGAGGCTTTTTTAATCATTAATAAGTTTTTTTGATGATGTTGGAGGGGAAGTTATTAGAAAGTAGTATCTGTTGGATGCTTCATGGATAAGGAGAGGAGGAATCATACTGTAAGCGAGGGAATTGGTTAGCATATGATCCTTTGATCGGCAATTATTCAAATTTGTATCTTAACGCGACGCTGTGTTAGGGAGGAGAAAAGGGAAAAATTCGAATCGAAAATCAAATTTATTTTCCTTCTTGCATTGCAGACCATGTACATCTTTTTCCGCCTTAGCAAGACGGCGTCAAGGCACTGCCGGTCTTGGGCTGTTCCTTTCTATTTATCTGCACTCAGCACTATTGAATATTTGTTGATTCTATCTATCCACCTGCTTTTTAGCCTTCCACGTAATCTTTTTCCTTCTATTTAGACATTCATTGTTACGTAGAAGCTTCTAGTCCCCGCTCATCTTAACCTCTATGCCTTCATATCATATAACATTGATTGACCAGTTTCTGTAAGCAGTCTTTATTGGCCTTTCTTCTCCAAATGATGACGAGTTTTATTGAAGATATGGATTAAAATATCTCAGCAACTAAAAATCGGACCTGTATACTCTAAGCGAGGGAATTGTTCAGAATTTCATTCTATCAGGAATTGGCTATTATTTAAAATTATATCTGAACGCGACCCCGTGTTGTGTGGCCTAAAGTGCGCACCTTAGTTTTTTATTTATACCCTCATTTTTTTTATTTCAATTAAAATATGTTAATTAAGTATAATAGAACTTTTGAGAAGAGAAAAAAAAATTATAAATACAGTTTTATATGTTGAACATCACCTGGAGGGCAATATATAAAAGCACAGTGACTAAAAATGAGAAAACAAAAATGGAAAACATATGATCTTATTCTCTTTTTCATTTGAAATAACAGGCAATGTAGATAGACACACTCAACTAAATTTCTAATTTTTTTTTTTTTTTTCAAAACAAGGCACATTCGAAGAAAAGGCAAAGGACTCGAACGAAAATGTCAAAGCTGGTGCAAAATGTCTTATGCAATAAAAAAAGAATATGGGTAAGAAACTTGACTGCACCCCTCTACCAAAAAAAAGAATCCGGAGACGAGTGGATTTATAAAGTTAATACCAACAGAGAAGTTACACGTAACGAATTGTTTTTTTGTTATTCTTTTGGTATTTCACTATGGGAAAAACACTATCCTCCAACAGTTTATTTGAGTTTCTCTGTTAAAGAGTTCTTTAGGAAAATATGGAGGAAGATAAGGGGTAATAAAGGAAAATGGAAGAATATGGATCCATCTCAAATAAGGGATAGTCCTTGTGACCCAGGTTTTACGATAGGAGACCCTTGTGGTCCTCATACAGGTAAGAAGGAAGAAGACCCTTGCAATCCACAAACAATGCCAGCTGACCCTTGTGGAACGAGTATGAAAAGTCAAGATCCTTGTGCTCCATCTAACAATATGGAAGATCCTTGTTTGAAACAACCGATTCCTGGAAAGAAGAACGAAGTTCCTTTGATGCAACCAAAGGCTGATAAGAAGAAGAAAAATCCTTGTATGACACAAGATATAGCTGGTAAGAAAACAGAAGATCCTTGTATGACACAAGGTATAGCTAGTAAAAAAACAGAAGATCCTTGTATGACACAAGGTATACCTGGTAAGAAAACAGAAGATCCTTTTATGACACAAGGTATAGCTGGGAAGAAAACAGAAGATCCTTGTACGACACAAGGTATAGCTGGTAAGAAAACAGAAGATCCTTTTATGACACAAGGTATAGCTGGTAAGAAAACAGAAGATCCTTGTATGACACAAGGTAATGCCGGTAAGAAAACAGTAGATCCTTGTATGACACAAGCTAATACTGGTAAGAAAACGGAAGATCCTTGTATGACACAAGCTAATGCTGGTAAGAAAAGAAAAGATCCTTGCATAACACAAGATCCTTTTATGACACAAAGTAATGTTGGCAAGAAAACAGAAAATCCTTGCATGACACAAGGTAATGCGGGTAATAAAACAGAAGATCCTAGTATGACACAAGGTAATACTGCTAAGAAAACAGAAGATCCTTGCATGACACAAGGTAACACTGGTAAGAAAACAGAAGATCCATTTATTCTACTAGGTTTTAGGGTAAGTTAATTCCTGTTGTTTCCGGGGTGTGTTGGTGGGTATTTGTGATGTACTTTGTAGTAACGCGTTGGTGGCTGGGTGTGTAGTGGGAGACAGTGTTAATATATCTGGGTATGGGGCATGGTGTGATGTGGGGGAGGCATAGGCGGGACGTGACGGGTGCTGGGGTGTGGTGGGTGGGGTAACGTGGGGGATTTTTTGATTATGGTGAGATCTGAGGGAGGAAGGAGTTAGGGTTTTGTGTTGGGTGGTGGATGATATTGGGTGGAGGGGTGTATTCTATAGACGCATGGGGTGTCAGTCACAGGTAGGGTACTGTGTGTGTATGGTATACGAGAGTGGTTGTGGGGGGGAGACAGGGTTTGTGGCGGTACTGTCTTATGGTGGTGGGGGGGGGGGAGAGGATATTGGGGGGGTGTTCGCGTCGGTGGTAACATGTGTGTACAGACAAATGATGAGTATTTGTTTGTGTCGCTGAATAGTTGTTGTGTAAGCTACGTCAAACGCTTACGTGCTCCGAACACTAGTAGAATGTATATAGAGAGACTTCTCGATTTGACACAATTGTTGACGATAACTATGTGTTATATAACTACTATTCTATTGTTTGTAATTTATTATACATTTTTATAGTTATTTAATGGTTAAAGGATATGCGTGAATTATATACACCTGATTCAACTAGGCCAAAATTTCATCAGAATTTATATAAAATTGAAAATTTATTTTTTTGAAGACGCTTTTTTACATGGGTGCAACCAAGAGAGTCCAAATTAAAATATTTTAAAAAAAATTAAAATTACATTATTTGTTTACTTAAGGTATTCAATTAGTATTCTTAAAAAAGTTATCCGTATCTTTCATGGTTTAATTACTAGTAAATATTATTATTATTTATATAAATTTATATTATATATATAAAAAAAGATTCTAATAGTTATCATAAGCGTAGGATCCATATTTAATTCGTATTATGATTTGATCATATTTATGGAAATACTATTAAAGATTTATAAAATTGATATCTTTCGATTAATTGACAATAAGAATTATAGACAGTCAGTGGGAGTTAATACCTCACTATCTAAAAATATTTAACTCGATTTCTATACATGCATTACCAAGACTATTTTCAACAATTAATTCTAAATTGATAATAATTAAGGTTTATAAAAAAAATTGTAAATAAATTCAGTTGAAGCCAAAGGCAACTAATTGAATATTTAAGAATGACGGCAAGCCATTTTTTTTGCTAAGAAAGGAAATGAAAATCTAGTATTCCATCAATAATAGCACAAAAGGTGAAGTCCTAGAATTACAAAAGATTACAAACAATTTTTAACACCCTCCTAAGAAATTGGTACTATTCCAGTACAAAATTAAATTCCTATTATTAAGGAGGAGGAACAATATTGCTTACGAAAATAAAATAAAGAACGCAAAAATCATTGAAGTAAGAAGTTTAAATATGTTAAGTTGAGATAATAAAGTTTACCGATGAATGACTATGTAAAATAGATTTTATTTTTAAAATAACCTATTATAGGTGAATAAGTCATATTATCGGTGTTCATGTAATATTAACAAAACAAAGATTTTTCCACTTTTCTTTTTTAGCTATAATTCTTGAATTGACATTTATGTCCCTTTATGTGGGTCATATTTATTTTATGTAATCGGGATGACATATCCTACATGATCCACAACCAATAGATTTCGAAAACACCTATTCACTAGAAGTTCCTTTTGTCAGTGATTCAGGAATAATAATTTAGTTTGAATTGGATTGAGCCTTATATGTATTTGGTTCACATTTTTAAAAGAATGTAAGATTAATTTGTAACAGGAAACAAAGCAGGTAATATTCCAAGTAGAACTCCAGAAAAGTGTATTTGTCGTTGGAGTAAATGTTGTCTTGGTCAATCTACAGCGATAATCAGATTCCCATTTACTAAAACTTTTTGGTGGTTAACGTTTTCGAACTACAGTTTCACCTGTAGGTAAAATTGTATGCGTCAAAAAAAAAAAAAAAAAAAAGAAAAGAAAAACATGTGATGTAACAAGTATTTTAGATCAAATTCATATTTCACACGTAATTACACTGCCAAAATTATGAAGTAAAGTTTACAATACCCTTTACAAGGCACGTTTCAAGTACAGAAGAACCGGAAAAAAAATGGTAAAGCTACTAAATTACCTCCATAGTGCATTAAACCATATGAGGGTTAGGAATATTCACTTTTATGCAAAAGAAAAACAGGGTCAGATTATTAACGATGGTACAATATGTATAAATAAAGAACTTCTGCAAGAACCACTAAAGCCTACTAGTATGATTTCAAAAAAAAAAAAAAAAATTCTAGGACAAGAAAAACACATTCTTCCAATTGCTCCAAATTGTTCCTTTGACAATGACATTCAATGTAAGATCGGCCAATTTTGTAAAAAACAAATAACTAGTACCGTTTATGAAAATAAAATAGATCATTTTGAAAAGAAACTAGATCGAAAACAGGTTATATCATATATTTTTAAAAAGAATATATTTCTTTGTAAGAAGGAAAGAGACAGTTCCAAAAAAGATCATTATAATAATAAAGTAAATTATGGTAAGAAGGAGGAAAATAATGAGGATTCAAGCGAAAAGGGAGAAGAAGTATTCAAAACGACAAAGGAATTAATCGAAACAACAAAGGAACTATGCAAAAAGACAGAGGAACTATGCAAAAAGACAGAGCAATTACATCAGACGAAATCAGATCCAGGCAAACAAAACACAGTACATCTTTCTGAGCAAAAGAATGATCCATGGAAGAGAAGGGAAGACGAATATAAAAGGAAAGTAATTCCTTTTAAGAATAAATTTGTTGTTGTTGGTTCCAAAAAAACAATAGATCGACGCAAAATACATGGTAAGATTGAGGATTTCAACAAAAACCGATTGTACTCCTCCAAAAAAATAGTGGATTTTCGCATGTCAAAAAATGTTCCATATAAAAAGAGAGATATTATGCAATTCAAAAATAAAAAATCAGCAATCAAAATTGAAATGACCGAAAATTTAAACAAGTCTAAATTATACAAAAGCCGAAAGTTACAAGAAATAAGAAATGGTTGGAAAAAATATATACCCTATGTAGGATGTCGTTATGGAAGGAATGTGTACTTGAGAAAAAAGGAATATGATCGATATAAAAAGAAGGGAGGTCCTTTCAAAGAGGAACTAATTCAAGATTTCAATAAAAAATTGAAAAAGAAAACCGAATATCCCTACAAAGACTCATGGAGGCAAATAGAGGAGCCTTCCGAGCAGAAAAATAATTCTAAACAACAAATAAGGGAACATTTCGAAGAAAAAATAGATCCTCGTCCACAAGAAAAAGATACTATTATGCAAACAGGGATGCTCTCAGTGTTAAAAAAAGATGATAGTCCACAAAAAGAGAAGCATTCCGAGCAGAAAACATTTTCCAGACTACCGATTGTGGTGCCTTTCCAAGAGGAAGTAGATGATCTATCGGAAAAAGATGATCTTTTCGAACAGAAGCAATATAAGAATAAGCAAAAAGGAGTGCACTCATTGCTTAAAAAAGATTCTGATCGACAAAAAGAGGAGTCTTCGCAGCAGAAAAAAATTTATAGTATGCAGAAAGATGATTTTTCTGTACGGAATGAATACCCTTGTCTGTTAAAAGAGGAACCTTTCGAGAAGAAAACAGACCCTCCTCCAAGAAATGATGGCCTTTTGGAGCATAAATGTGATACTAGTCCGCAAAAAGGGATGACTTCAATCAAGGAAAAAGATTCTAGTTCGCAAAAAGAGGAACTTTCCGAGCAGAAAACATATGCTAGACCAACAATAGTGGAGCTTTTCGAAGAGGAAATAGATCCTCGTCCGAAAAATGACGACCTTTTCAAACAAAAACAAGACACTAGTCCCCAAAAAGGGATGACTTCAATCAAGGAAAAAGATTCTAGTTCGCAAAAAGAGGAACTTTCCGACCAGAGAACATATTATATACCAACAATAGTGGAGCTTATTGAAGAGGAAATAGATCCTCGTCCGAAAAATGACGACCTTTTCGAACAAAAACAAGATACTAGTCCGCAAAAAGGGATGACTTCAATCAAGGAAAAAGATTCTAGTTCGCAAATAGAGGAATTTTCAGACCAGAGAACATATTATAGACCAACAATAGTGGAGCTTATTGAAGAGGAAATAGATCATCTATTGAAAACAGATGACCTTTTCGAACAGAAGCAATATAAGAGTAAGCAAAAAGGAGTGCACTCGATGCTTAAAAAAGATTCTAATCGACAAAAAGAGGAGTTTTCTCAGCAGAAACAAATTTATGGTATGCCGAAAGATGATTTTCCTGTACGGAATGAATATCCCTGTCTGTTAAAACAGGAACCTTTATTGAAGGAAACAGATCCTCCTCCAAGAAATGATGGCCTTTTGGAGCATAAATGTGATACTAGTCCGCAAAAAGGGATGACTTCAATCAAGGAAAAAGATTCTAGTTCGCAAAAAGAGAAACTTTTCGAGCAGAAAACATATTATAGACCAACAATAGTGGAGCTTTTCGAAGAGGAAATAGATTCTCGTCCGAAAAATGACGATCTTTTCGAACAAAAACAAGATACTAGTCCGACAAACGGGATGTCCTCAATGCTAAAAAAAGATTATAGTTCAAAAATAGAGGAGCCTACCGATCAGAAAATATATTCCAGATCACCTATAATGGAGCCTTTCGAAGAGGAAGTTGATCATCGTTCGAAAAAATATGACCTTTTCGAACAGAAGCAATATAAGAATAAGAAAAAAGGAGTGCACTCATTGCTTAAAAAAGATTCCGATCGACAAAAAGAGGAGCCTTCTCAGCAGAAAAGAATTTTTAGCACAACGAAAGATGTTTCTATCGTGCGGAAAGAATTTTCTTGTCTGTTAAAAGAGGAGCATATCGAGAAGGAAACAGACTCTCGTCCAAGAAATGATGATCTTTCCGAACAGAAGCTAGATACTAGTCCTCAAAAACTGAAAAAAAATTCTAGCCCGCAACAGATAAAGGATTCTGATCAGCAAAAAGAGGAGCTTTCCGATCACAAAATAATTTATACCACCCAGGAGGAGGAATCTTCTAAGCGGAAAGAAGATCATCTTCTGTTAAAAGAGGAGCCTTTAAATAAGGAAATGGATCCTCACTGTCTGCAAAAAGATCATACATTCAAACCAATCGAAAGTATGATTCCACAAAAACAGAAACCTTTCGAAATATATCCTCGTCCGAAAAATTATGATCTATTCGAACAGAAACAACATACCAATTCTCAAAAAGGGTTGACCTCAAAGCATTCGCAGAAAAAAAAAGGTTCTATTCCGCAAAACGGAGACCCTTCCATACTAAAAAAATATGCTATTCCGCAAAAAAAAGACCTCGCAGAGCAAAATGAAGATCCTCATCTTGAAAAAGAGAAGCATTTTATGAAAAATAAAGGTTCTAGAGATTCTATTCCGCAAAATAGAGACCCTTCGAAGCTGAAAAGAGATTCAAATCCACAAAAAACAGACCCTTTCGAGCTAAACGATGATCCTTGTCTAGGACAAAAGGAGTATTCCGAGGAAATGAGAGATTCTATTCCGCAAAACGAAGATCCTTGGGAGTTTAAAAAAGATTCTACTACGCAACAAAGAGATCTCTCCGAGAAAAATGAAGATACTTATCTGGAAGAAGGAGAGCATTTAAAGAAAAATAAAGGTACTAGACATTCTATTCTGCAAAATGGATACCCTAAGAAGCTGAAAAAAGATTCCATTCCACAAAAAAGAGACGCCGTTGAGCAAAATCAAAATCCTTGTCTGGAACAGGAGGAGCGCACCGATGAAGAAAAACGTTCTAGAGGTTCTATTCAGCAAAATGAAGACCGTTGGAAGTTGAAAAAGGATACTACTCCGCAAAAAAGAGATCCCTCCGAGCAAAATGAAGATCCTTATCTGGTAGAAGGGGACCATTCTAAGAAAAAAAAACGTTCTAGAAATTCTATTCTGCAAAATGGAGACCCTAAGAAGCTGAAAAAAGATTCCATTCCACAAAAAAGAGACGCCGTTGAGCAAAATCAAAATCCTTGTCTGGGACAGGAGGAACGGTCCGATGAAAAAAATGATTTTAGAGGCATTGTTTCGCAAAACGAAGACCCTTCGAAGTTGATAAAAGATTCTACTCTCCAAAAAAGAGACCCTTCCGTGCAAAATAAAGATCTCCCTCTGGAAGTAGGAAAGCATTCCGAGGAAAAGAGAGGTTCTAGATGTTCTATGCCGCAAAATGAAGACCCTTGGAAGTTGAAAAAGGATACTTCCCCGCAAAAAAAAGACCTCTTCGAGAAAAATGAAGATCCTCTAGAAAAAGGAAAGCATTTTGGGGAGAAAAAAAGTTTTAATGATTTTAGTCCGCAAATCGGCGAAGGCAAAACATTTCGTCATCTTAAAATAGAATTTGGTTCCAATAAAAAACAAACTGGTAGTCCTAGAAAATGGCAGCCTACTGAGGAGGAAAACAAATCTGTTTCGGAAAAAGAAGATATAAACCAGACAATAGATCCTTGTCCGATTGAAGGAGACACTTTCGGGTTGGAAAATGATTCTTCCTCCAAAAAAGGAGACACTTCTTCTAAGAAAAGCAATGCTAGTCGGCAAAAAGGAACTTCTACCAACTTAAAAGAAGACGATAGTCCACAAAATCTGGAGTCTTCCCATGTGAAAAAAGATCATTGTACTCAAAAAGGATTTTTTTATATTGAACATAAGACAAACCTCTATTACACGAAAGGAAGTTCAACAGACCAGATTTTGTCAGAAAATAAATGTGCCTTTTCTATTCTGAGAAAGGAATTGATCTTACTATCTTTCCTAACACTTGGCTGTGGCGATAAATCAAAACTATGGCCATTTCATTCAAATAACCATACGTCGTATGGTTTGATTGATTCCAAAGAGAATAGCAAACTACCTAATATATATAAAAGTAAACGGTTGAGTAAACTTTACAACAAAAATATATACATGACTGAAGAAAATTTAAGCTATACAAAAAAGAGAAATACAGAAAATGTACCTGGTACGTCAAAGTCGTTAACATTATGGTTGAAATATTACTACGACACTATAAAATTCCTTCTAAAGTTCTTAGAATTACGTAAACCAATGGACAGTACGTCGCAACAATCAAATACCAAATAAGTATTAAAGCAAATGTTAACGTGATGTTGATTAAAGCCTGTATTTTTTATTGAATAAATATTTGTGTATGTTTATGAATGAATAGTTTTTCCCCTTGATATTATTATAATTGCAACTGCGCTATCTAGTGTGTATAGCCAAACTGTTGTCGATGTTTTGTGCCCTAAACTTGATAGTGACTTTGAACAAGAGTTTTGTTACAATTGTGTAGCTGACGATTTGTTGACAGAAATTGCACGTCCTCCTAAATGGCTCCTAACTTGAAATAAAAAGAAAACAATAATCCAGGTTTCTCTTAACCAGCCGCATTTTACTGGCTTATGTGCTCTGGCGATATTTTGTAAGAGTTTCTTGATATGTCAGTGAAGTTTCTCATGAAATACTTTGTATGTCGTCTTAAAGTGATCTTGCATCATCAGTATGAGTAAGTCTGTATGTAATGTTTTGTTACTGATGTAGCAGAGTGAACGTGTGATGAGTCTTAAAGTTTTTTATTGAAGTATGTTTTTCATAAATTTATGTCCTTTTAGCTAGCTCGTAGATTTGTCATGCATAAGTCCATATGGGTTTTAGTAAGAAAGTGTAAGTGGTTATTTTTTGTATCGTTTTTAAATTTGGTCGTTTCTTTCTAATGTGTGCCCCCTAGGCCATCCTCCTGTCGAACGTGAGATCTAAGTAATGAGCTGTGTAATGGAACCTAAGTAACGAACTCTGTTGTATAAGAACATTGTTTATGTAAACTAGAGTACATGTGTCATGTCGGAGGTAGATGTGCTATGATTTTTCACTGTTCAGTTTAATTTCCCTGTAATTTTTATAATAATGTTCTAGGACCAGAGATGTCTGTGTGAGAATAGGATTAGTATGTCATACTCGTGTACTTATATAATATACAATAAAGGTTTATGAATCGATCCCTGCTGAACTTCTGCCTTTACTGGGCTTATAGAAGAGGGTTCAGATCTCTGAAAAGCCTGCTTCAAAAGAATGAGAAACTAATGAGATAACAGTTAGAAGGAAAAAAATATTTCAGTTTGTAAAGCAATCCATCGTGACAAACTCTGTATTTGGTGTATTGTTGAATGTAGTGAACGGAACCCGAATTGGTGTTCACATATTCTTTGGTTATCTGTTAGTATATTGAGTATGCGTTTTTAAAATAATTTTTCAAAAATTTTTAGATTAAACGCGAAGTAGACTAATGGTTCTATTTGAAGAAGAGCTACTGGAGTTTTAGTTCGATTTTCGTATCATTAAAACTTTTGAAAAAATATATTGCAAAGGAAAGTTTGTTGTTTTTAGTATAGCGTTGAATAGGGTTGCTAAATAGACTATCGCTTTTCTGGGCATAATGGCGGTGAAATATGTTTTATCGCAGATATTGCCCAGCAGTGATCAGATCATACCAAGGGACTTTTCTTTCGCGTAATTTCCGAACTGCTTGTAGTACATCAGATGGAGGGGAAACTTGTAGAGTTCCGGGAAGCCGGAGGGGCTGATTTTTGTGGTAATGAAATTTCGAGAGAATCTTGTATGTAATTTCCATGTCTGGGTAGTCTGTGGTGTGAAGACAATTGATAGATGGCACGTTTTTTCTGTATGTAAAGAAATTGTATAACCAATATACTTTTGCATTTAACTCTTCCAATTTTCTTTCAGACTTAGTTAGTTTTCCCCTATCTCAAAAAATACAATAACATTTCAGTACTATAGTAATAATCTAATAGGTAACTGCAAGACTATTGCGCCCCCATTTGGGCAACACTACACATCGTATTTCCACTACACATCGAGTCCAAGAAACATCGTATTTTCGTGATGGCGCAGAATCCTCTCGATGCTTTACTAGCTTTTTATTTTGTCTTCATAAGCTTCCATTTTCTGTAATGCATTATTTATAAATGCATCAAAGTTAGTATGTTTCAATTTTTGTGTTTGTCTTTTTAGTTCGTAATTTATTCGGTTATAGGTATGTTTATCCGATGGTAGTCCGCCAGTCTGCCATATTTTAAGAGCTCTCATTTTGGTTCTGATCAAATTCCTCATATACTGTGGTTAATTGGGCTAGTTATTTATTTATTTGCGTTTAAAGATTGATGAGGACCGATCTGATTTCGGAATGCTCTTTGTCGAGAGAGCTTCTTCAATTTCGTTTTCAGTTTTTAATGAGAATGGAACCAAAAACCGCTGATTTAAATTAGTTTTATAACAATCCCCAATCGTTTTCTTTGAATAAGGGTTGGGCGTTCTTTTGTAATGGTTCTTCAAAAAGTGTAGAAGGTAAGTTCAGAACATAGATCCCATTTTGTAAAGTAGGCCTGTAATCCTATTGTAATTTTATATTGTATTGTTGTAATTAATTATACATATATATATATATTTATAATTTAAGGCTGCTTAAATGACCATCTTGGTTATAATTTGTTATATTAATATACATTTTTGATAACCATTTGTCGTATTTACATATTTTATTACCTTGCTGATAACAAACTATTTATAATTCAATTTGACATTTTATTTTTATCTGCATTTTATAATTCTATTGCTCAGTAAAAAAGTTAACTAAAATTGTCCTAAATTTGTGGTTTAATCGCTATTTTCTTGATTCGCGATGTGCATTTTTATGATTCCAGATATGCCATATTAATGTATCATATTTTAAATACGATGATTATTTTTTTTCTTTTATAAAATTTCCGATAAAAAGCAATTTGTGAAAAGTCCTATTAATCCCATTGCTTTCATCCCAGAACATCTTGATTTGGGAATAATTAAGCATAAAACTTAATTATATTTGCTTCTCCTGCTGTGACAAAAAAATAAATAAAATAAAAGTAGCTCATAATTTAGTAAAATTTTACCAACTCAATGCAAAAATCTCAAATGTACAATAGTTTATAACGTAAAAATATATATTTTTTTCATTCACATCGTTTACAACATTGAGTATCATCTGGGCGTGGATACAGCTCGTTAAGGGAAAAAATGAAAAAGAAAAAAAAAACAACAACTAAAAACATGTGATCCAATAAACATTCGAAATTCAAGATTCTCTTTAATACACGTATAGATAATTAACAAAATTACAATATGTAGAGTTTCCAAATACATTTACAAGGTAGCGTTCAAGAACAAGGACCGAAATATAAAAAAAACATGGCAAAATTACTGCAAAACCTCTATAATATCAAAACCATTTTTCCAAAACTTAAAGAATCGCAAGAAATCGGCGGGAGAATGGTGCGCCTTATTCATACCAGTAAGAAAAAACGCATTTATAATGACCTTTTATGGGATACTTTAATATTCAATAATATGATCCATAATAAAAATATCGGTATCCAAGTACCAGAAAAATATGGTTCCCCAATAAGTCCCAAGGTGTATCAGAGTGTTTTGTTTAAGGATATTACAAATCGTTTGAAGAGAAGGTCTGATTCGAAAATACCCACGCAAAGACATAAAAAGGAAAAGGAGCAAGCTGAGGAGACCAAAGCTTATTACAACATGATAAATTCTCACAAAAAGAAAAAAAAGAATTCCACAAAGGATGAAAAACTTATATCGAACAAACCGTGCCATAGAAAAAATAACGAAAGCCCTCAATATGTAGCTAAAGAAGAAAACAATGGTTACTGTAACTCGCTATATTCATTCATAAAGAAAAGGAGGAATTTAATTTTGAATAAAAATTTAAGGAAAAACAACACAGTATTAGTTAAGAAAAAAGAAAATCAATCTGAAATAAAAAAAGACACCAGTCACAAGAAATTGGAGCATTTCCAAAAAGGACACATTTATAACAATAACGTAAGTTCCAAAATGAAGAGAGGAGCAGATCCTAGCAAGAAGGAAGCCAAGTTCACCAAGAAAAGAAATGTAATATGTAAAAAACAAAACCCTTGTAGAAATCAATGTTCTATAAATTCGAATTCTAGTCTTTACAAAAGGGTAGATCCCTCGACATATTTGATGGGGATAAAATCGGATCCTAGCACAACCAGTGAAAGGAAAAAAGAACCCTTAGCGAAGAAAGTAGACCTTTCCAAACAAAAAAATTCTATTAAGAAAAACTTATATAGCTACAGGTATAATGATAAATCTTCTAAGTCAAATGAAAATATTCAGAAAATGCAAGATCATTTCAAAAATATTTTGGAAGAGTTCTTTTACGAACTAGTTGATCCTAAGAAAATAAGAGACAAGAATATAGGTTTAAACCAGAAAAAAGATTTTCCTTTCAAGATGAAAGCCAATCCTCCGAAGAAGAAAATAAATCTTTTAGAGAAACAAGAATATCCCTGTAAAAAGAAAAAAATATTGCACAAAATGACTGTTCCATTAAAAAACAAAATAGGAGTTAAAGAGAACGATTCCAGATCTTTTAATTCTTTTGAAAAATTGAACGGGGAAAACGATTCCGGCCTAAGCTGTAACCAGAAAAAGAAATATACCAAGAAAAAAACAGATTCAACAAACAGAACACAATATTCTTATACAAATAAAAATGTTTCAAAGAAAATAACTGCTCCCTCAGAAAAGAAAAAAGAAGTAAAAGAAAAAGTACGCAAATCTTTTGATTCTTTTGCCTTATTGAACAAGAAAAAATATTCCGACATAAGCGCTAACCAGAAAAAGGTATATCATTTCAAGGAAAAAATAGATCCAATTAAGAAGATAGAATACCCGTATAAAAATACAAAAGAGATTTTCGACAAAATCACTCCTCCTTCAGAAAAGAAAAAAGATGTAAAAGAAAAAGTAAGCAAATCTGTTTATTCTTTTGATGTATTGAACAGGAAAAAAGATTCCGGCATAAGCGCTAAAGAGAAATATCATTCTAAGGAAAAAATAGATCCAACTAAGAAGATAGAATACCCGTATAAAAATACAAAAGAGATTTTCGACAAAAAGACTGCTCCTTCAGAAAAGAAAATAGATGTAAAAGGAAAAGTACGCACATTTTTTTATTCTTTTGATGTATTGAATAGGAAAAAAGTTTCCGGCATAAGCGGTAACCAGGAAACGGAATATCATTCCAAGGAGGAAATACATCCAACTAAGAAGATAGTATACCCATACAAGAATACAAGAGAGATTTTCGACAACGTGACTGCTCCTTCAGAAAAGAAAATAGAAGTAAAAGAAAAATCATGCGAACCTCTTGATTCTTTTGAAGTATCGAACAAGAAAAAATATTCCGACATAAGCGCTAACCAGGAAAAGGAGTATCATTCTAAGGAAAAAATATATCAAATTAAGAAGATAATAGACCCGTATAAAAATACAAAAGAGAATTTTGACAAAACAACTGCTCCTTCAGAAAAGAAAATAGAAGTAATAGAAAAATCATGCGAACCTCTTGATTCTTTTGAAGTATCGAACAAGAAAAAAGATTCCGACATAAGCGCTAACCAGGAAGAGGAATATCATTCTAAGGAAAAAATATATCAAATTAAAAAGATAGTAGATCCGTATAAAAATACAAAAGAGAATTTTGACAAAACAACTGCTCCTTCAGAAAAGAAAATAAAAGTAATAGAAAAATCATGCGAACCTCTTGATTCTTTTGAAGTATCGAACAAGAAAAAAGATTCCGACATAAGCGCTAATCAGGAAAAGGAATATCATTCTAAGAAAAAGATAGATCAAATTAAGAAGATAGTAGATCCGTATAAAAATACAAAAGAGAATCTTGACAAAACAACTGCTGCTTCAGAAAAGAAAATAGAAGTAACAGAAAAATCATGCGAACCTCTTGATTCTTTTGAGATATTGAACAGGAAAAAAGATTCCGGCATAAGCGCTAACCAGGAAAAGGAATATTCCAAGGAAAAAATAGATCCAACTAAGAAGACAGTATACCAGCATGAAAATAGAGAAGAGATTTTCGGCGAAACGACTGCTCCTTTAGAAAAGAAAACTGAGGCAGAAAATTTGCAACTTTTTGATCCTTTTGATGAAATATTAAAGAAAAAAGTTGCCAGCGTTTCCTGTAGTCGAAGAAGAAAAAATTCTTCCGATAGGAAAGTAAATCCTTGGAAGAAGAAAATAAAACATTCTAAGAAGAGGCGATATCCATTAAAAGGGAAAGGCATTTCCCACAAACTTAAACATCGTTCCAGAAAGAAGATGAATGAAACAGTTTGCAAATTGTTTGAACGTTTAGGAGTGTTGAATAGGGCAACAAATTCCAGAATGAGTTGTGATAAGAAAAATGAGGATTTTTACAAGAAGAGGAAGTGGATACTTGTGAGACGCATGAAAATCCTTTCTAAAAGAAAAATTAACATTATCAAAAGGTTTAGGGCTCATGAAAAAAGAACAGGAATCCTTGCAAGGAGATCAATGATGTTTGCTAAAGATAAAAAAAAACAATGACTAATGGCATATAGATATAGATCTTTAGAAATTTATACAAGCAGAACACTTTTGCAATAAAATAATGCTTCCAGTTCTCTGTTGGAAACTATGAATACTGTAAGAAAATCATTAATTTTGAAGCAGGGAGTAGGTTGATCAGTGTAATATTCAAATGGTACCCAAAGCCAAGTTAAAACGTTAGTGGGAAAACATATGAAATCGATCGGGTAAAAATTGTCAAGTGGTAACTCGTCGACAAAAACTGGAATTTTCATCATTCTAAGATTATGAACTTTCTTCTTGAAGATCAGCAGAAAATGAAAACAGAAAGTTAATATGAACAAACTGGAATAGGAAGATTGCAAAATAATTGTTCGCTCAGTAACAATATCGTTATAATGCATTATATGGTTGTTATTTAACTTGTTACGTCTTGAAGTCCCAACTTGAAGCAAATGTTCAGTTCTCACATATTTATTACTTGTGCTGGATGCCTATGTTTTTAAAGAACTAACTGAAAGCTGGTTGCAACAGAAGGAATTAGAAGAATTAATTCAGCTGAGTGAGAAGTCCATATTGTTGTAATAAAGATGTCTCAACGTTGTAAACGTGTGCAGTTGATAGCCGTGATAATCCAACACAACAAAACAAAAGTCTTTTAATAAAAAAATAAAAAATAAAAACTTTCTTTTTAATGCTATGCCTTATTTTCGGCTTCTGCCACGGGCGGATCTACGGGGCGGGAGGCTTTGGGGCTGAAGCCTCCTCTCCCCCCTCCCTCCCCAAATGGTAAAATATAACCATGTTTTATGGAAAAAATATTAAAAACTTATCTCTTAAAGTATTATTCTTCGTGTAATTACATTTAAAAGGACTTTAGGAATCACCTAAACACCATTTCATATAGGTAGTTAGTTTCTTTTTTTCCTAAGTAATTATCGTTATTTAAAAAACAAAAAAAAAAAAAAAGCTTTTGGGCTAAGGCCCCCAAAATAAAATCCTAGATCCGCTAGTGGCTTCTGTCATGAGTTTTCTACCAGGCCAAATTATAATACTCGAGATTATAATACAGTGGATTATATTGTAAGCTATTATATTGAATGCATTTCTAATTTGAACATGTATAATATATTTCTGAACATTATGATTACTGGAAAAAAAATTAATTCAGTTTCAAAAAGCGTGCTGCAGCTTTCATATTCATATGGCGTGGTCGTATTTTTTTTTTTTTTTTTTAATTTATCACTTAATATAAGATTCTATCGAATCTTGCAAATCTATACTTGTCACCAGCTTAGAAAAGAAATGAACTGATATTGTGTAGTGAAACCTCTTAAAAAATCTCTTCCTCATCATTCTGGGCGTATTGCTGATCTGTTGCTGAACAGGAAATTAGAGTTTAAAAGAGCATCCTATCCTCTGGAACTATAATCAATATTTACCTTGTTATTTTGACAGATTTTAAAAATAAAAAAAATAAAATTTTTAAAATAAAAATAAAAATACTGAAGAAGAGAAAGAAAAGAACAAGAAAATTGTACATATATATAAGAAACTAAAATAACCTAAATACATTTAGGTATCCTCTGGGGGTGCTTAGATATTTCTCTTAAGTATATTTCTCAATCAATCGGATTGAGAAAGGAGTAGGTGTTTAAAGAGGAGAGGTTTGAAAGAGGAAACTGATTGAGCTTGTCGAATATCAGCAGGGATGGAATTCCAGAGGGAGGTGGCTTGTATTGTAAAGGATTAGTCAAACGCAGCAGTTCGGTGAGGAGGAGGATAGAGATCGGAAGTACGAGATCTAGTGGGACGGGATTGGAAGAAGTATCTGAATTGTAAGCTGTGAAAAATATAGGAGGGTCGATGAGTTCTAATGATCTGGTACAGAAAGGTGGCTAGGAAGTACTGACGGCGATAGGATGGGTACAGCCACCTCAACTCAGTTTAATACTGGGTAATATGCGTATCCCTTGAGATTCCGAAAACAAATCGTAGTGCGCAATTCATTAGGCGTTTAAGTTTGGTCTCGGAATCTCCCGAGAATTCACCGTACACCATACAGCCATACAGTCGAAGTGGGGGAAAACAAGGGAGGAAACTAGGAGTTGACTGGACTTATATGGAAGGAGATATCGCATATCGACCTTTTTTATCAAATTATTAACTCCCGCATGAAACTTCGTTAATAGCTTAATATTAATCGTGACATACAATTATTTTATTTACGAAAATTCTCGGACAATTATTTTATTTACGAAAATGCTCGGATTTTCAGTCCGGAGATCGTCAAACTTTGTCTATTCAATTAGGCACTAAAATCTCGTAAGTACTTATTTGCTTTCCACTTGAATATTAAGATAATTTGAGGAAAAGCTCTAGAAAAAAGACCACCTTTAAAAATATTGAGCTGTTTTTACCTACACTCCAAAATGTAAAAATAACCAGGTTACATAAGCCAAACGGCCCAATATTTTCGTAGGCCTCCTTTTTTTTCTCGATTTCGTGATCAAATCATCTTACGATCTAAGTGAAAAGGAAATAGGTCCATACGAATTTTTAGCACCTAATTAAATAGACAGCGTTTGCCGACGACCAGGTTGAAAACGTCCTAATTCCAAGAGTTTTCGTTAATAAAATAGTTGTAGGTTACGATGAGATGAACCTATTCACAAAGTTTCAGGTGGATGTTAATAACTTGAAAAAAAAAAAGGTGGTCTTTACCACGAATTAGTACGTATCTTGTGCATGTGTTGGTTGCCGTTTTGTTGTTTACGTATTAAGAAGATGATGGTTTTAAAATTTTAGATTGAAAATGATTTTATTGATATGGTGTATGTCCATATGGGTTTCAGCATATATGAAAAATGAAATGAAATGAAAATATTTTTTTTATTATCCTGGGACTGTTGTTCCTTTAGGACAAATTACAGATACAGAATAAATGGCTGTGTGGCCATACATAAAATTAATTATTTACATTTATTATTAAGATTAAGATTTTGAAAAAATAATAAAACAAAAAATATAGCTATTACACTAAAAACATTCTGATATGTATAATACAAACTATATAATAAAATAAAATAGCATAAGTAAAGAAAATAATTTCTGGGGGAACTTTAAAAGTTCTCTTATCTACATTTCATGATCAATCGGGTTGGGAAAGGAGTAGGTGGTTAAAAAGGAGAGATTTAAATGAGGAAACTGATTGTACATGTCGAATATCGGGAGGGATGGTATTCCAGGTGGAGACGGCTTGAATTATAAAGGATTTGTCAAACGCTGCAGTTCGGTGGGGAGGTGGATAGAGGTCGGAGGTACGAGATCTAGTGAGACGGGATTGAATGGAATATTTGAATTGTAGGTTGTGAAAAATATAGGAAGGCCGCTGACTTCTGATGACTTGATATAGAAAAGTGGCAAGGAAGTACAGACGGCGGTTGCATGGATAGAGCCACTTCAACTTGGTGTAATACTGGGTTATATGCGTATCTCTTGAGATTCCGAAAACAAAACGTATTGCGCAGTTCACTAGGTGTTTAAGTTTTTCCTCGAATTCTCCCGAGTGTACGCCGTATACCAGACAGCCATAGTCGAAGTGAGGGAACACAAGGGAGGAAACCAGGGGTTGACGGGATTTATATGGAAGGAGATAGCGGAGACGGTTAAACTGTTTCAGGGTAGAGATAGTACGACGGGAAATTTGGAATATGTGTGGTTTCCAATAGAGGGTTTGATCGAATGTAACACCAAGGTTCTTTACGGAAGTATGGAATGAGATAGGTGAGTTGTTTAGGAAAAGATTGGGTATTTGTATGGATTTGAGGAGTGAGGGAGATCCGATCAGAATGGCTTTCATCTTATTGGCGTTTAGAGTAACTCTATTGTGATTTGCCCAGGCATGTGTGTATGTATTCATTTTTCGTCTGATTTTGTTTTTTTTTAATACTCCTCAACTAGCGATATATCAATACTAACTTTACTTAAAAGGAAACTAGTGATGAAATACCACTTAAAATTATTCAAAATTAATAGTAAATATAAGAATTTACAATTTATCCAATAACTGGTAAATCGCATTAAAAAAAATTTAATATAGTTCTGAATTAGAATTAGTAAAAATTGTGAAAGATTAGATATTAGTGAAGTGGGAGTCGTTCGGTTCTCCAGGCTTCATGTTTTTTAGCAACATTCTCAGGCAAGAAGGTTATGTTCCTTTACTGAATATATCATTATTGATTTCTCAATGTTAGGTTTAAACGATGTGATGGCCGAACCCGTTGGGGCGTGAATCCTAATAGAATTGTTCTGAACGTTGTGGGTTCCACATGGGTCGGTTAATAATCAATTTTTGGCGTCCCTGTGAAATGAGCTTGACACTCCCACTCTTTTTTTCTTTTCTTCTCACTTTTCTTTTTCTCCCATGCCTCCTCTTTTCAGTTATAGAGTTTTTTTCCGGACCAGAGAAGATGGCGAGGGATTGATGCCAGAATTAAATGTATACTCTCTCAGCAAGTAGTGTTAGGTATTGTTACTTTTGCTTCCATAAATATAACGTATAAAGTAAGGTAATGTAAAGTGGACGGAGGGAGGGGGGGGGGGGAAGGGCTAGCGCATTGTGCACCACCGTTGCCCGGCAATCTGATATATGATAAATGATACAAAAATAGTTACGAGTTCGCCCCGACATCCCGGTGCCAAGGCGTCTTTTAAATCCCCGCCCACACCTCCTGGCCCGAGAAAAACCGGTATAGCCTGAACGGCGAGGAAGGGAAGGATTAAAAAAAAAAAAAATTAAGGTTTTTATATGGCTGGGATTTTACAGCAACTGTTTCGTCAAAATCGGCTAACCAGAAGTGCCTCTTTAAATTATAGATTTCACACATGTTTAAAATACCGATTTAGAATATGTTTGGAATTCAGGTACCCACATTTTAATACATATGTTATTGAATAGTTTAGGATTCAGTATCGCGTTTCAGGGGTGCCCATCTTCCCCAAGGTCGACGGCGCAT